GGRARGGGGWYYYACCTCCCAGTTTACAGGCTGGTCTTTTATATTTCGAGAAATGAATGTTTTATGTGTTTCTAGTGCACTTRATCCTACTGCAAGTAAACCTCTGTGAAAAAGTAACATGGATTTGCCAGGAGTTTCCTGTATTCTGCACACAGAGTTGTCTCTTCTGGCTCATTTCCTCATACCCATTTTCCATACATTGTCTTTGTTTATGTTATAAACATAAATATGCTTATATGTTATAAATATGACACAAATTGTTAATAKTTGTTTCTTGGGTCATTCCCTAGGTATTTCATCTGGCAAAAATGGGCGAACCTCAGCAAGTGAGTGCCCTTCCTCCTCCTCCAATGCARTATATAAAAGAATATACTGATGAAAACATCCGTAAAGGCCTGGCTCCAAAGCCACCCCCGCCTGTGAAGGACAGCTACATGATGTTTGGGAATCAGTTCCAGTGTGATGATCTGATCATTCGGCCCTTGGAGAGCCAGGGTATTGAACGGCTGCATCCTATGCAGTTTGATCACAAGAAGGAGTTAAGAAAACTTAACATGTCTATCCTGGTGAACTTTTTGGACCTCTTGGATATCTTGATAAGGAGTCCAGGGAGTATAAAGCGAGAGGAGAARCTGGAAGACTTGAAACTGCTTTTTGTCCATGTGCATCACCTTATAAATGAGTATCGCCCTCACCAAGCCAGGGAGACACTGAGGGTCATGATGGAGGTGCAGAAACGCCAGCGCCTGGAGACYGCTGAGAGATTCCAGAAGCACCTGGAGCGAGTGGTGGAGATGATCCAGAACTGCCTGGCCTCCCTGCCCGATGATCTGCCTCATGCAGAGGGGGGACTGAGAGTGAAAGTGGAACCCATGGAGACTGATGATGGCAGCAACTGCCTTGGACAGAGTGAAAAGCAGAGGGAGCGTTCTGGTGGCAAGAGAGATCAGGTTTTGGACAAAGATGCAGCAATGTGYAGCATTATTGATGAAATGACATGAAGAAAACACGTGGTTTTGTTAATGCACTGCAGTGAGAGACAGAAGGGGTTCTGAGGCTATATGTTGTATTTTGTTTTGCTGTGATACAAGCAGACAATAAGCATTTGTCATGCACCTGTCACCTGTTGTGAGTGACTGGGCAAATGAAAATGTTTAAAATTTTCTGACTCGTGTTTTTTTTGGTAGATATGGAAAAGTATGATTTTTGTTAAATGTATCATGTGAGGTGGTAGGCACAGATTAAAGTTGGCTTTTCCTGTTGTACTTTCCTTTGTCACTTCCTGCTTGTTTGGGGTATGCCATTCTATATATACTGTGAGTCAAGATAAATGTCCTACAGAAATGGTTTCTTGCACAAACAACACACAGGAGCTTGGAAAACAGGCATGTAGAAACTCAAATTACATCAAGGCATTCCTCGTGGTCATGTTTGAGGTAAAATCTAAAGCAGGTAGATTAACTGTTGTCCTGTAGCTCTCACATTCTTATGTTATGTGACCAGAATGGCTTTCCTGGGATCCTGCCACAGCCAKCCTGCCTTGCCTTTCCCATTGTGGCAGAGCAGTTTCAGTATCCTGCTGGTAATTATCAGAATTGTTCCTCTAGCAGCTCTCTGTAGTTTCCTGTTTCCTCAGAAATGGCAGGAGCAGAGACGAAGCATTGTCTTTATTAAAGAGTTCTGCTTTCAGCTACTGCATGCAAAAATCAACCTTCATCCTTCTTATTATCATTCTTTCCTACAAATGTGTTGCTAATTTGTCTCTTGGCTACATTAATCCCTTTGTTTTTCTAATTTTCACTTCAAAAATCTGTCAGTTTGGTGCCTCTGCTGTCCTATAAGATAGCCATGCAAGGCAAGGTCCAGTTGTAGCATCTTCCACTTATTTATAAGTAACTCCTGAGTAATTAATTTTTTCTATATAAAACACCGTGAGGTAGAACTCTCTGCTGAAGCAGCTGAATTTCTTGGCCCTGGATCAAATACCCTCGATGAAAGGTGAGGTTCTAGCCGAAACAAAATCGTAAGAGCTCTTTGGGAAGAGTTTGGTGATCCAGGTGCAGGGAGAATGGCTAGGGAACAGAATTTCTCAAAAGCTGTATTTTAGTTTTTGGTCAGAGTAAGCCTTGAGTCTGGAATGACATTGTTTCCACACTACTTTCTCAAATCACCTCTGTATTCTGGATTTTTTACTTTATATTGCAAAAGCGCAGATGCATATGGAATTTTGAAAAGTAAGATGAAAAAAGGATGCCACTACATTAGGCTCAGCTGTGTAACAGGAAGACAGTTTTTCAATACTGCCAAATGAGCTCTGCCGAAGAAAATTTGCCAGAAGATGCTCCGAGTTGCTTCTAAGTATTAGAACGAGAAACTTATGATTAAAAGCTTGAGTAGCTCATCCTAGAGAAGTGTTACTTGACCAGGTCCTGTCAACTTACCACAGTCTGCTATGTATTATGTAATATTTTATCCAAATGCTGTTTTCTGTGGCAAAAGCAGGCTTGGGAAGCACTCTAGGGCAGTGGATTGCTAGTAGTTGTGTCAGCTCAGTGGTGCTGTCAAGTTTCACTTACTGTCATCAAACAGATCTGGAAAAAAACGAGAAGCAGATTTGTTTGGTGCTGCACCTTCAGTCAAAGCTCCACCAGCAGGAGCTCAGTACGCTCGTACCCTGCACAGCAGCACTTGGCTGTACTGCAGGRCACAGCCCAACAGCCCAACCACGGGCAAAACCATCCAGATCGCACTGAGAGGCACCCACAGCTCTGTCTGGAGATGATGTGCTGAGAAGGAAAACCAGAAGTTTACAAAGAAGATCATTTTTCTTGAATGAGAAGGGCAAACGGGAGTGTAGATTCTCATCTTCAGCCACAATGTTKCCGTATGTCTGTGTGAACTGGATTCTTCTCATGCTGTTTACAGGTACCCAAGGGGGCATAAATAACTGGGTGGAGGTAACGTGCATCAGTGGTTCTGAGGGTTGCAATGAGAAATTTTATCCTGCACAGGAAGAGTGCAGTTCACAGAAGCTGCAGTTCTCGGGGTTAAAATAGAACTTTCATCATAGTGGCTCAATAGAGTTCTAATGGCCTTGTCTCTTGAAAAACAGAGGCATGCTGAGGGTATGATGGTTTTAAATGTGCTCCTTCTTGGGCTGTCTGCTCATCTACCAGCAGGCATTTTTACATAATGAGGATTTGAGATGAGCGGAGAACTTAGAATCATTTTAGAGAAGATGTAAAATAAGGATATTTCACTTTGGCAGGCTTTGTGAAGATGAATGCTTAGGTAGACAGAAGATCCACTGTGGCTTCTGGTATTTTTTAAACAATATGAAATTTTATTGGGACAAACTGATAATTTTTCCTTTTTTTTTTAATTCTGAGGAAGCACTCTTCCTAGATTGTTAAGAGCAACAGCAATGAAAACAACAGATTGCAAAGTGGTACTAATACAGACAGATAGACATTAAAAACTTGGTGGTAAGATAAATTCAGTGGAAAGAGATATTACAGATACTTCTTGTAGTTCTTTATAAAGCCTTTTATGATGAGTTTCTTTCTGAGCTKCCTTTTCATATTAAATAAAATCCATTGGTTTCAGAGACTTGTTTCTAGTCTGCTATTGCAGCAAAATCTCTGCATGCAGGTTTATTTTTAATTATTATAGGAAAATGTCTGAGCTGGACTGGGCAAAACAGCTTTTTCACTGTGATGAATGGGTTGCTGGGTGTTAGGGCTCAGTGTTTTGACCTGAGTAGCGTGACACAGCCTCCTGGAAGCGTGACTAATTTTTGAGGAAGCAAACCAGTTAGAAACTGCGCAAGAATTAGAAAAGAAAATAAGGTAATGGAAAAAAAAAGAGGTATATATAGTATTTCTCAGAAAAGCCCTGAAAAWTTTCTTCTGATCAGAATGGGCAAAACCTGTCTTTAGGCACAAAGAAAATAAATTTATTCAGCAGTGATCGTTCTGATGAAATCTCCTGAAAGGAGGGAAAGGTTTCCCAGAGTGGTTTTGACACAAGTCAATGTCTTTCTGTTCCCCCATGTGTGCCTTGGGTTAAATGTACACAACGGAAAAAGTGAAGAGCCAAYAGACTGCACCTGGCTCAAGAGAAGCCACAGAGTCTTTTCACCTCACTGCCTACCTGCAGAGGCTGCAGAAATGTATTTCTTCCTTCTCTGATGAGGGACATGATCTAAATGTGTCCCTGGCCTGATCATTTTCCCTCACTGCATCATCAGTCCTGGACACATCTGTTTGTGGAAAATCTGATCCAGCAATGCCTGGCGGTGTTTGAGAGATGGGAGGTTCAGGACATGCAAGATGCATAAGAAGCTTCCACTTGCCCTGTGCTCAACTGCTGTTTGTGTTTTTGTCCACAGGATCCACAGGATCAGAATTAGTTGTGATAGGAGAGGTTGGCCAGGATGTCACTGTGCCCTGCTACTACAGCGTCCACAACAGRAGGGACATCACATCCATGTGCTGGGGTCGGGACCCGTGCCCCACATCAAAATGTTCCCGGACCATTATCTGGACAGATGGCTGGAGGGTGACAGAGCAGCACAGCAGCAGGTACCAGCTGAAAGGGGACCTGCAGAAGGGGGAYGTGTCCCTGACGATCGTGAACGCCAGGGAAGCAGACTCTGGCACCTATTGCTGCCGTGTGGAGGTCCCAGGGTGGTTCAACGATCACCTGAATAACCACAAGGTTGTGATAAACAAAGGTGAGTGCAGAGGAGTGCTCTGTGTGAGTACCACTGTGGTGGGTCTGCTCCAGGCTCTGGACCTCAAAGCTTGTGATGCAGATGATTTCTGCACTCATCCATAAGTCTGATCTTGAGGATCTTGCACGTCTGCTGTTAATGTTGCTTCAATTAAGCTGCCTTTGGCATTGTTGCTTTCCCACTGTAGCCACTGCAATTAAAAAAGGACATGGTGCTTTGTTTCCTGGTGCATAGCACTACTGAGCATTCTTAGAAACACTCAAGGATTTAAGAGAAAGGGCAGCATTGAGTATTTGTCCAAAGCTTTATTGCTGCACCCTTTTCATAGAAAGCCATACTTGATTTTCCCTGCTTGGTTCTAGATTAAAGCCCAGGGATACAGCATTGGTATAGAGAAGCTTTTTATCAATTCTTCCTTTGCTTTTTAGTTTTTCCATTGCTTGTGGTAATACATTGAAGAARTGGCTGACAAATGTGCTTTGCTGGYAAATTTTSATTCTAGAAACACTGTCTCTTTCTCACAACATAAATGYCCTATAAGGTTAATTATGTGTTGATTTTGTTTTATTTTTAACATCAGCGAGGATCTCTACTGCAAGTCCTCACACTCACACCTCTGAACAGACCTCAGGTAACTTTTATTCAGGTGTTAATCTCAATAGCATATACAAGCCATACTGCAAAGGGGAATCTTAGGAAGGAAACAAAATTATGATAGATGATAGGTGTGTTTTGGCTAAAATTTATAAAACATCACCAGAGGTCAGAACTTGGATTTAAATTCTGCTTGATATTGTATAGAGAGCCCARCAGAAGGAACATGTATACATGGGAGGAAGCTGCTTCTAGGTATGATGCTTTAGTAGATATTTTAGTGGCACTGCAAGGTTTGCTTTTATTTGACTGTTGTTTTGATTTGTTATGTTCCCTTTTGTGGTATAAAATCTCACCTCACCTTCTAGAAATGCATCCCATGAACAGTAAAACAGAACTTTTCAGGAGCTAGGTGTACCCACTGTTTCATCAGAATTGTTTTATTGGACTGACTCAAAAGAGCATCTAATTAAGGCTCCTGCCTCCAGTAGCAGTGAACAGCAGCTGATTTAAGGAGAGCAATGGAAAAATGTCAGTAATTTTGTGCTAGAGTGCCAAAGAGTTCTTGGTGTGAGAAGAGACACCCACCCTGGTGTGTCTCAGAGGCTTCCCACAGCCTCTGTGCACATTTAATAATCTGAGATCCCTCACTGCAGTGGAACAGATAGTGCTCAGCWATTCCTCACTCGTTTTCTACATTCACAAGTGGATAAACTTCTGTGATGTACCCACTCAGCCGCATCTTGTCTGAAAAAGACAACACCTCATGGTGTAGCAATGGCTTATTCTCTGGATTCTGAAAAGAAAAAAACTAAATCAGGCATGCCATTTGTATTTCTCCCTGTATCTTGGATGTTTCCAGCTATGCAGCTCCAAACTGATGTTACAACAGTTGCATTTCCTTTTTGGAAGCAGAAGTGAAAATTTTCTCAGATGGTTTCTATTCTAGTTGCAGATAGCATGGCTTCCAGTCTTAGAACTCAGGGGTTTTCTTATCCCTGTGACCTCTTCCTCAGCTGATGGTGGAACAGTGTTTGAAGTTTTCAGAATACAAGTTAGTGTGTGCATGTTCCCCTGAGGGAGATGGGGAAAGGCAGGTGGCCTTGTGCCTCTGATGTAGAAATGCTTGAGAATCTCCACTGGAAGCTTGTCATTCTGTCCTCCTCAAAATAAAGCTTCTGGGATAAAGGTAACAATTTAAAATGTAAGAGCAACCATCTGGAGTTGGCCCAGAGTGAATAGGAGATTTTGTTTTCAGATTTTATATCTGGCAACACATAGAGAAGCAGACTGATGATAGARAAGACAGAAATCTGTTGGTCTTRATTTTAAATATTGCAARTARCTGTGYWCTGGGAAATTACCTMAGAATGTRCTGCRGGTCCTWATGCAAATRTATCACATTTTGTTCAAAGATATCAGTTCTGTTTATTGTATAGCTGTCTGGGGCTTTAGAAGTATCACCTGCTTTCTGTGACTGCATCACATGCTGTTCCAAGGCCCTGAGCTAATCTTCATCAGTTTTCACCCAATAACCTAAGTTTGCTTTGCTTTAGGCAAATATTTCTTTGCTTCAAGGCCAGGTTGGATGGGGCATTGAGAAACCTGGGATAGTGGAAGATGTCCCTGTGCATGGCAGAGGGTTGGAATGACAAGGGCTTTAAAATCCCTTTTAGCCCAATCTGTTTTATGTTTCTATGGCCACTGCTCCTTGGCTCCAGAACAAAATGTAACTCCTTCCCAGTGCTGAGATAACAGCAGGTGTTTCCTGAAAGCAGTCCAAAGCTCTGAAAGAGGCTGCAGAAACTGCAATAATCAGAGTTTTGTGCTGCCCTCTGAAGACACCAACCTCTTACAATATGCAGAGCCCCAGCTACTGATAGACACGGCAGTTCAGGGTCCCAAGTCAGCTGTACAAAATCTTCTCTGCCAAGGCAGAACCATTCTCTGTGTGAGTGATGTGTTTTTCTTGCCCTTGCTCAGCTCCTGGCAGCACCAGTGGATCCTCCTCTACTGTCACAAGGATCTGGCCATCGGTTTCTTCTTCAGAAGCTTCTCAGACTGTAAGCATCTCCTTTGCTATGGCACACCTAGACTGAGTGGATGGACTTGAGAGTTACTGGGTCATCCCTACAGGTCACTTCCACTGCTTTTGTCTGATTGCAACAGATTATTGTTTTGTAGTCTGTGTGTTTAGTGGTTTTGAAGAGTGCTTATGTGCTCATTATTAGAGGGGGAGGGGGGAAAAAAACCCTGCTTAGCAAGCATAAATTACTTCCTTCTCATGCAGGAAGAGCTTTAGCAACATCTGTATTCCCTTTCAGGCCTCTGCTCCCTGCTCAGGCTCCTCAGACTGCTTGGATGTGACTGCAAACCTGCAGGTACAGCAGGGGTGGGGAGAGGGGAGCTTGGGCCACCTGAGAGCAGAGGGGTGCCCTGCACTCCCCATGCAGCAGGGCTCAAACARGCAGCTCTGTGTGTCCTGCTGAGCCCTCCCTGCAGCACAGGGGGGAGGGTGGGACACCAGGAGATAGCTGAATCATTAAAGAAAATCACCAAATATCGTTAAACCTGAATAAACGAGATTTACCATAACTTCAGGTCCTCTGACAATCTCCAAGACTGTGTGTTCACACAACTGTTGCAGTGATTCTGCTTGAAACTGGGCCTGTATCTCAAATCAGGCTTTTGGTCTYGGGTGTAATTTTCCTGCAGGGTTGCCAGATAAACAAAAAGCCTTTGGGTGCTGCRTGGGCCCCACTAATGCTCCCTGTCTGGTGTTTGACAGAACACATCCGTGTCCCTTCCCAGCCAGCAGCACCSAGAGCATGGGCTGTACATTGGGATYGGCTCATGTGCAGCCCTTCTGCTCATCCTGATCCTGGCTCTGTTCCTCACTAAACGTAAGTGTTTCCATGGGCAGTTACTCCAGSATTGCTGAGGTTTGTCCATGCCACATCTGCCACCTCAGGGCAGGAAGCTGAGATGCTGTGCGAGCTCACAATGGGAATTTCCTTTATTTACTTTCTTATGCTTGGATTTATTTTTGAACCCACTACTTTACTTGCTTCTCATGGTTCAAGCAAAATTATTTGTTTTAATTATTGGGGTTTTTTTCTCTTTATGTTTCATTCTGGATGGTCCTTAGAATATTTTTACAATACAAAGAAGATGAGTGACTTTACAAGGTAAGTTTTCTGTTCCTACTTTTGCTAACAGGACAAATGAGGTTGCACAAAGAAAATGTCAATGTRCTGACCATTCCACCACATACCTTGGCTTTCTTTTTTAATGCCAAGTTAATAGAAAACACTATAAAAAGAAATTAACAACTCCTGCTGTTTTTCATTACTTATTAAGCAAAAATAAGTGTAACTGTCAGTTTGTAGCATTAGGGAGCTTGCTAACCTCAGGTGTGAATTCTCCTAAGTGGAAAGATGATTCATTATCAGTCATGATCATGTGTTTATGCGTATTTTGCATTTTTGAGTGATTTGCTCCTCTCTAGTTTCATTGTCTGTTTTTGGTTTAACACCATGKTTTTTACTCTTTTTGCAGCTATGTTGCATTTTGGAGGCCACAAGGCATGGGGRGCCATAGTGCCCTGGAAGATGAGATCCATGCAGAGGAAAATGTTTATATTGTACACTAAAGACTGGATGCATGGCTGCCTCAGTCACTGCTGGGACATTWAATAGTTTGCAAAATGTTGGCTGCTCCCTCTGCTCAGCAGCTGAACATGACTGCACAACTGAAGCATTATTCACATCCTTTCAATAAAACAAATAAAAGCTACACTTTTAATTAAAATCTTTATCTACCTGWTCCAGAAACAGAAACCAAAACTGGCATCAGTGGAACTTTCCATTTCCTAAAGAAAGTTAGGATTATATTTATTATCTGCTTCAAATTCTCACTTCCCTTTTGGAAAAATAAAAAAGAGGAAGTGCCAGAAGGGCACAATTGTCTTCACTGTGGATTCTATCTGCCACCTACCACAGTCTGTGCCATCAGAGGGCAGGAACAATCTCATAGCTGTGTGACAAAGATGTCACATGGCCAATCTTGGCAGTATTAGTGATTTAATACACACTTAGTTGTATTTTTACTGAAATCTGGTATAGCCAGTCCTGGTAACAGCTGAGTAATGCAATGTTCTGACTGATTCATGCTCACCTGGAATTAAATCTGGAGGAGCTATGGATATTCACCCCCTGATTCCCTGGGAGCCTACAGCATCAGTCCTTCAATGGATAGAACAGTCACAGCTTGCGTGCACAGAATTATGACTAAGTGTGAGGGTTTTTGGCAAAGTACATYACTATTTTTCTGTGGCTTTCTCCTCGAGCACATCTTTACCCTGAGAAGCCCTTGAGGTGAAAATTTCATTGCCAGATCTCTAAAAAAACTGAACAAAGCTGCCCCACTTTGTAAAGTTAATGAGATTATTTTCTTTACTTGCAGAGAACTCAAGGACATCACACAGAATATTGGCTGGAACTTGACCCTGCCTTCAGACATCTCTAGACACCAAACAACTCTAATTCATAAGAATGTTGGATGTTTGGTGGATTTCACCTCATAATTGGGGAGAGTCTGTGGCCAAGTGCCTTTCCTCCATTATTCCTCATTTAGGAATGTGTCTCAGCTTTTATTCTCTGCAAAACTAAACTTTGGTTCACTTTAAATAAATAAATGGAGGCAGCCCTGTGAGTATGACTTGTTGAGGAAGAGAAACAAGACACCCAAATCATCTTTAAATGGAGGAATAGTTGTCCCCAACTGTTTCTAAGAAAGTATTTTAAACAAAGGCTGGGAACTTCTTGAAAGAGCAGAAAAGTAGCACAGGCAGGACAGACACCAAYTCTTACCAAATATTGGTCAAATCACGTTGCCCTGAAGCTCATCCCAAGCAGCAGTGTGGAATTACCCGACACAGACAACACTGCCACAGGGAAAACTCACAGATGCACCATAAACTTTCTTCCAGTGACTCAAATTTAGACTTCAAAATTATTTCAGCAATGCACTGAGGCATAAAGRCACAATAATAAAATCAGTAGGTGTTTCTGGTAACAGCTGAGACACTTGAGGCCACGGTCTGGTTGTGTTTGAGAGGAGCTGGGGTCAGTGGGGCAGTTCCCCCTCCCTGTTCCAGCTGGTGGAGATGGGAAGGCAGTGGTTTCCCCAGGAATCACAGAGGGTCTGGCTCAGGTGGGCTCTTGCAGGTGAAAGTTCTTGCAAAGACTCACAAAGGAGGGAAAGGAAGGAAGGAAAGAAGGAAAACAAATGAGGACAGGTGACCTTCGGCTGTTTCCTATTTCCACTCATGCTGTGTGTTCTCCTGGGGCTGAAAAGGTTGAAAATGTGGAGGTGAAYTCATGGCTGACTGAAGAGTGGGAGCTCAGATATTGGGTGACCACTGATCYAAGGACCAGGAAAAGTGATGGACAAAACCAGCTCTGCCATTTTCTATCCTCACATCATATGTAGCTTTGTGTAGGGAGGTACTGAAACCAGAAAGGACCTGCTGATGTTAGACTGTGGTTTTGCATTTGGCTATTAATAACGATTACTAACCCAAAATCTCTGCCCCTGCTGCAGACATTGCTTTCCTTCTGCCTGGCTGAGCATGTTGCTGCTGCAGGCTCCTGCCCATGACTGGAGCTGGAGGAAGTCTGACCTGGTCTCAGAAAAGATMTTCAGCAATTTCTGCTTTCCGCAATTTTATGTAATCAGTCTTTACTGGGGTCAGAGCTGGACATGTGTGGGGTTTCCAAAATACTCTGATTCCAACTGCTCATGTTCTTACGGAGTTTGTGGGCCATCCTTAAGGCTCCTAATCATGAAAGATGCTTGTYTATAAGGATATTTTTAAATTTATATTAATATTGCAGACTAATTCAAATTAATTTTTACATCAGCAAGTTTTTAATGTAAAATCCAGTTCTAGAATATCCGATAACTAAAATCTTGAAGCAACCAAAATCTTTCTGCTCTGCAACTACTTGGTAAACAGACTGCAAAAGTTGAGAGGAGCAAGAATTTTGCCCTGAACGTGCAGTGTGATACACATCCATGAAGGCAGGAGCTCCCTGGGTTTTTTCATAACCTCCACTTGTGTCAGAGGATCTTGGAGCAGGAATTTCAAAATGAGCCCCAGAGACAAGCAGGTGGCACTTGGAATCCATCCACCCACCAGGACATGAGCTGATGAGGCTGATGAGCTGAAAACTCATTTATTTGAGACAATTCTGCCTTCAATTTCCTGCCTGCGAGGAGCCACTAGATAGCAGTACAGAAACAGAAAGCAACCCGTGTGTTTGTGACTCTTCCCAGCACACTCAGATTTTGGATGGCCTTTTTCCATGCACTCTGCTGCTGCTGGCCCAGCCTGGCTGTGGAAGCAAAGCTGATATGAGGCTGTGTTCATTTTGGGGCTTTCCTGCTCACCTGTGACCCACTGTCCAGTTCTGTCTGGACAGGCTGCACAGGAATTTGTAGCTGAATAATGACCCAGATTTGTGCCCCGGGTGGGATTCAGCTGCTCCCTGCTCTGGCACCAGCTGAGCACCAGCTCACAGCACTGCTGGGTGCTGAGTGATGGGACAAAACAGGAGCATAAAGGGTCTCCAGGATGTTGGATCCCTCAGGGTGCATTAGCTCTGTCCCCAGAGCAGCTGGGGCTGTGTCACTGCATGAACTGTGCCTGGGAGAATTCAGCAAATTAGCTATTTTACGGATTGCCTTTACTGCTGAAATTTTATTTGCTTTTTTTTCAATGCTAGCAAGCGGAAGAGTGACATTTTCATGGGCTTGACTATCATGATAAGCCCAAAATCTCATTACTAAAGGTGTAATGCCTGGTTAAAAGCCCATCATTTTATCATTTGAACTTGGAATTGCACTCCAGTTTGCACTGTGCTACATTTATTTGCACAGAATTTTGTCTATCTGCAATTCTTCATTCCTGACCTTTCTGCCCTGAATTACTTTTGCTTTATTACTCAGAGAAGAACTTCCAGAGAACTTATCTGTCAATTGGTCAGAAAGAAATAAAACAGTCAGAAGGAGTGAAAAATATTTCTTGAAGATGATGTTGCATTTCTTTGGGAAGGATGTGGTTTTGGCAACAAAACATTTGCAACAACTTCCTCCAAGGCTGTTCTTTGCAAACAGAAAACATGAAGCAGGGGAAAGAGAGGGGTCTTTGAGCAGAAGGCAGGAGCAGGGGAAATTAGGGATGAAGCAAATGTGAGTGAAGATAAAGTCTGAGATGGAGACTCTGCTGGATGTTTAGGGGTGTAAGAGTGTAATGTGTTCTTGCCTCTCAGCACCCCAGAACAGAACYGGGCCTTGAAAGTTCCAGGGAATGGCTGAGCAAACAGATTATTGGAATTTTTGGTGCTAGCACCATGTTGTTTTGGAGGAAGAAAGGAGAGGAGGGCAGCCTATTCCAGGATTTACTGCTCACTCCCTAAATACTTCCCAATGTCCAGTCTGGGGACCCTGGAATCATTCCCAGGTGTCCTGTCAGTGGGGACAGGGAGAGATCAGCATTTCCCTGTCCAAATCCCCTCCTCAGGAAGCTGCAGAGAGCCCTGAGCTCCTCTCAGCCTCCTTTTCTCAAACCCAGAGCCCTCAATWGCTCCTCACAGCACGTTCATCCCAGCCCTGGCAGCAGCTCCACTGGCCTCATCTGGGCACATCCCAGACCTGAATGTCCTTCTCAGATGGTTTGGCCCAGAAATGCCAAGAGTGGCCCAGCAGGGGCTGCAGCAGCGCTGACCCCAGCAGGAGATCCCCTCTTGGGCCAGTTCCCATCCGGAAGCGAAGGAAAGAGTYGCTCGCAGCACTAAAATCTGCAAATGGAGAAATGAGACTTCAGTGGCACTCACACTGCGTCTCTGGGAAGGATAAGGTCTGGTTTTCTSTCCTTCCACTGCCTGYCCTGRCATCTCCACCTGCCAGAATGTYCCGTKCTGTGCTGCTTCACTGGATTATGATACAGACCTTTATAGGTGAGTCTGCACCTGCTTTTTGTGTGTTTGCTCAGAAAGTGAAAATTTTGTAAAATGAAAACCAGTGATGCTTGTTTTATGAAAACAAAACAGTGAAAAGGATCATAAATGTGTATAGAGCTTCAAACATTTTGTTAATTTACAGTTACTACTGCTTGAGGTTTGTGGGTTTTTAACTTTTTAAAAAATGTGTGTGGTTTCCTCTGCGCTAGTTCCCTTGTTCTCTTCCCTTGCAGAGCTCCTGAAGGATGAGAATGGCTTTTGTCACYTGTTCTTTTGTTACCAGTGCTGAGAATGTGTTGTCTTGAGGTTCAGTAGCCAGTTAAATGCTTCTTCTCTGTTTATCAGTCATATCCTTTGCAATCTCATCAGTCAATAAGGAAAAAAAAAAAGAAAAAAGATTGGTAGGGCAAAGAWTCCAAAAATCTTTTTCAAAATAGCAAAGTTATTCCAGGAATAGATCAAGGGAAAAAATATTATTTTTCAACCAGGTGTCTTGGCTGGAGGATGAATGTTTTTGTCCATCCAATGACCAGTTTGTGGGAAAGGAGACAACTACAAGAGCAATTATTGGAGTTACTTCTCAGTGCCAACTGCCCTTGAGGGTGGGTTTGAGAGAGACTGCACACAAATATCAGTATACCTGTATGATCTGACCAATTATGAATGCYCCTTTCTATTTTGGATGGTCTATTAAACACCTGGAGTGCATTTCTCTCTCACTGATGAAGGACTGRGTGGCAAATGTCACAGATTTCAGTGGGACCACTCAGGCACAGCTTTGGGTCA